ATGGATTGGGGCTTATCATCCGCACAGCGACATACGAAGTCCGCACAACATGCAGCTATCCTCGGTGTTTGTGAATCGCACGGCAAGATATGTGACCATCTTAAAATAGATCCACATTATGTTGCGCACCCGGGTCATCCCAGCTCTTATTTGCCATGAACTATTTCGGAGTCCTTGGAATTCACAAGTCATAGTATCCAAATCGGTGCACGGGAACCTATCTCCCACACGATATACAGGCCAATCCGCGGCTGTTGACAAAGTCGCTCCAGTTTAGCACGTCTGTCATGCCTCTTCTGACAAGTCCTTGCTACTATTCTGTTTCTCTAGGGGAACACGTTGTCATGTTGCACGGAAGGCGAATATTATTAGCGGGAGCACCGACCAAAGTAAGACATTTCGCGTGGGTGGGCCAAGCTATCCGTGAAACTGTGTCCCATTTGAGGCTAGCTCAACATGGGTGAGGTAGGGATCGAAGCTTCCTGGGCCGCTGGCCCCTGTCGGGGGCGAGCCGTTTATGAAACACCCCGCCCTCGATAGAATGAGGGTCCTGTTTTAAAACCTCGAACTAATGGTCCGTACGGAGTAGTACGTACCAGTCTCTCAAGTTAACCTACGTGAACCCAAGAATGAGAACAGTCCATCTCCTCAAGGGCATGAACTCGGCCATGGCGGCGGTGTGAAGTTGCGGCATGCTGACGAGCCACAGGTTTTCATTCTTCTTGTTGACCTACCTCATTGACTGTCGACATACTGCTACTAGTCAATTGCAATTGACCCCCTTCGAGTCTTTGGAGCCACGCTGCATGGGTTGTGTCTTGCCCTTTTGCCCACTCGTTTGGCTTCTTCAGGAGATAAGCCAGCCCAGGCAGTTCTGATGCAGACGCTCCTTTGCTCAGCTCCCAAGCGAAGGGGGAGAGTGCTGCCCTTGCGTTGACAAGAATTCCAGAAGCATACCCAACAGCCATTGTTTATTGTACGAATGTGCCGAGTACTGCCAGTAACACAGCGCACTCAACAAAGCGACCCAAGGTCCGGGCCGCCGCATTGGCTGTACAGGGTCGTTTGCAGTCTCCAGGTGCAACTCCGTTTCATCTCGATTGTGCCTGTCTGGAAATGATACATGGTTCATGCTGCTGGGCTTGTTGATGCTACGCTTGCTTCTCGGATTGTCATATTTCCGATGCTGGGCTCCTGGGAAGACGTTGGAGCAGGACTGTTGTCCATGTTTGAGAAACACAAGCATCCTGGAGATCTCTTTCTACATACGTTTTTACAGGGATAAAACCGGCAATGACTTCCTCTCCCAGACCTTCGGATTTCATAATCCTACTCCCTTTTCCCTGACGTTGGCTGGAAGCGAAATTTGAGGCACTCCTCTTTTGGAGTAGAATGAGGTTTATCATTGTTCAATGCTGCCTTCTCTTCTAGGAACTACCGTCGAAACAGCCCAATTCAAATTCGGTCGCTGTTAGGAGGGAGGCCCCCTCCCAGGAAGTTCTGGACCAAATTTCAGCAGGAGACAGGATACCAGTACCAATAATGAAGCTGCGTGTAAGTGAGAAATCCAAAGGCGGAGAAGAGTCCACGGATGATTGCAAAGCGTTTGGTCGCCTAGTGGCCCTGTAATATCAAATAGTTCATCCTGTTTGGGATTGTAGGTTTTTTTTTTTTTTTTTGCTCGCCTGCAAAGCACGACACACTTGCATGCCATTATTCCCTGTTATGGCTAGCATGTGTGTGCAGCTTTGGGCAGGAGAGGGGACAATCACACACGACACCGCCTAGACTGCTATTACATACCTCTCTTTGTCTCTTTGCAGATGACTTGTCTCCTGCTGTGCAGCCGAAACTGTTGCTCTGGACGACTGTTGACGAACAAGAGTGGCATCGGATCGACAACCGGTTGACAAGATCCTTCTGCCATTAGGGCACATAGACCCAGAACTGTGGTTTCAAGAGTCTACACGCCACTTGCTGCTGGCAAATACAAGGTGCAAATTATCTTTATTTTTGAGTTACAAGATGATGGGATTAATCTCATGACCACGATACATAATGGCTTAGATACTTGCCAGGCCAGGGACACTTCAAAACGGGTTTTTGTGCAGGGGTGGATGCAGAGAAGCAAGGGCCGCTACAAGCAACTGAGAGATGCAAAAGCGCTATTGAAAGACGATGAAATGGATCCATTGTCTGATGCATCTGCCCTGTTTAGTTTGATGCGCGGGAGAGGTCACAGGGCGACATCCTTGGCTGTGGCGTTTCAACAATGAGGCAACATCAGCATGGTGCCATGGTGGCGCGCAGCTTGTCGGCCTAAACAGATCAACTCCCACGACGACCGGTTAACCACGAGGATCCACGTTGGCGTTTACCGGGGTTTGTTTCACCAGCTCCAGGGTTTACCACGTTCCAGTGGACGGTCTGATTGTGGATATTTGGGGCAAGAAAAGACCAAAAGCAAAAAAAAAAGAAAAAGGAGAGAGACAGAAGCAGAGAGAGAAGGGGGGAAAGGAGGAGAGGAGACAAAAGAAGAGGGCGGCAAAGGAAAAAAAGAGAGGCCACCAAGACCAATATGGGAAATCTGGCGGAATAGGGAACGAGGGATAACTACTCAGTACCTACATATTGACAAATTGACGGCGACACAGAGCACCTCGCACCACTCGAAAACCCTAAAAAGGGACATGTGAGCAACCTCTCGGCCGCCAGGTCTCTTCTCCGTTTACCAATCCGATTCGGGCGAGACGGTTCAAGGATCAATTGAGCAACTAGACCTGTTGGCAGTTGTGTGGTTCGTCTAGATTGCCCTGTTCATGTCCTCTCTAGGACCGACACGGCACACGCTTGCCAGATTGTCTCGTCCTATCCCGTTGTCATGGGTCTCAGGCGGCGGACGACCCGTCACGGGCCAGCCTGGGATCCCGTTCTGAACGACTCTTTCCATCGAACCCATTCATCAATTATGGAGTCTACAATAATGCACTCCCCCCGCCGCTGACCTCGCATCTGGCAACGCCTTCGGCCCAGCTTCCACATGTACGTCTTCTGGCATGGAGGAGGGGCTCAATTCCTCTTGAATCCCTTTCGGGACAATGGTCCATTCCTCCCACAGACGGAAGGATTTCCACACCACGTCGTCGCCCTGAAGAGCTTTCTGCGCGTGTCATGTAAGCAACCGAAAGAGCGAAAAGAAGACGACGAAAAAGACACTCTCCTAAACTTGAAAACGAAGTACTAAGTCAACTAGTTGGTAAATCCCCCAGCATTGGCCGCATGCCGCCTGGGGAGCCAGCCCCCTTCATCTATATTAAGCCTACTTATGTACTATACAGGGATGCTGAACCTCAACCGTTCACAGTCAATACTACTTTACATAGTACTACTCCGTAGTAGGAACACAATAGTGTCACCGACGAGCCGCCCTGCAGCTGCCATTGGAGACGCCCAAGAACCATGAAAAAAACAAAACATGGCTGATGGCAAAAAAAACTTTCTCCTCACTGGGGCTCGTACAAGCTGATCTCCATTCACAGTCATGTACTTGATCTGCACTGGTTCCCGCCAATACCGGCACCAATCATTCACATGCCGCTTGTCAGGTATCCGTCACCAGAGGAGAGCCTGGCCACACAACTCAAACGAAGAGGCGACATGCCCAAGACCCCTGGTCAGAGTTACTCTGTATGTACATGCGTTATTGCGAACACATCGTCAGAGATGGGGTACGCGTTCCAGCCACCGATTTAATTTGGAGAGTCGATCCGATCCGGTTTGCATATATTGGGGGCGTCATATGCCATGCCTGTTATATGCCCAGAGCACAAATCAATCTACTACATGTCTACTCTGTGCGCGTGCCAGCTCCTGGTTATGGTGCATACATACATACAGCTAGGAAACAAACAAGAAAGCCAGGCACAAGCTACCACCGTCATATCCATGCCAGCCGTGATATTCATCCACCATTACCACCCCATTCCCCTTGTCGCGCTACCAACACGACAACTACATAGGTGCCGGATGAGCAGCGTTACTTTGTGTGTGTCCTGCTCATCTATATTTGCAAGACGTATATGACGGGATTCCCGGCGCAACATGTCCCCATACGAGGTCGTCGTCGCAAGCTTTCAGAAGAGGCCACGGTGAGCCCCGAACAAAATTTACCATGGCACGCCGAGCCAAACTTGTAGGGATCACAACGTAACCCTACCCCCTCCCCAAAAGTGCAAATTAGTGCAGTAGGATCGCCTATCGAGTGCGCATCACAAAGTCGGCCGACACAATCAGCCACGTGTCCCAATGTGCCGGTCCAGCAAGCGCACAATGCCAAGCGATACCGTGTCAAAAGACCTCGCACAAAGTCGGTGCTGCTATCTATTGCCGAGGCGGAGTTATTGCTCATGGTACTAGTATGATGAAGGGCTAGAGACGACGGGCTACTCCGTCATGTCGTGAGTCGTCTAGACCTCAGATAGAGTACCAGAACATCACATGGCAACGCATGTACCCCAGCGAGTAGTAGTATCAAGGCACCAAGCACCGCATATACCCACAGCAGAGGTCGAATCGGACCAACTCAAGCACAGCATTCACGCACGCACAATGAATCAAAGCAGTTGTTCAAATCGTTCATCTTTTCTATATACCCCCCACCATGCACCACCGTAAGCACCCAGCTTACAACCAAAACAAGCATGAATGAATCCTCGAGCCCCAAAAACAGGGGGGGAGGGAGCCCCTTGCAACACCAGAAAACGAAATGGGAGTGAGTATACAGTAGACTTTTTCTTCCTGGACATGAGATAGTAACTTGGATGTGATGAATGTTCAAAAGGTGGTCGGCCGTTAGACGTTAACATCGTATATATATAATATATATTGACGTGGTTATGCGGAATTTGTGACGGTAGAGTTTTCAAGGTCAGCGGTCGGGTATATTAGCTTGTGGACACTCGCTTCTGCGAGCTGTTCAAAGATTGGAAAAAGGAAAACACTCAAGAAGCATCACCATTGGGGTCGTCCGCAAGAGGCTGTTTCTTGGTCAACACCCCCTTGTGCTTCTCCCTGTCCTTATCGACGGGTTTTGCCTCGGCATCCCAATGCGCATCGCTGTTGTCCCGAGTCTTGGTCAATTTCCTCGGCTGTCTCTTGGGCTGCAAAGCAACTGGATCCCCCGTGGACACTGCCTCGGGAGTGCTCGCCTCGGTGGAAGGCTGGCTGTCGGAGTGGTTGGTAGAATTGCGCGTGAGCTCAGGCAAATGCATCGACAGCGTCCTTTGGTCGTTGTTGTTTGCGCTGAGCACGGGGCTATCGGCTGCTTGAAGGCTCGTCGAGTCCAGGGGCATGTTGTACACGGCATCTTCCTGCATTGGATCGATGATGGAGCTGTTGGTGGCTCTGGTATCCCTGAACACCTTGTTACTCGAAGCAATCGATGCCAAGCTTGTGCCGTTGGCCTCCAGGTCGTTTGGAGTTGTTGGAGAAATGGGACTGATTGGTGATTGTACAGTGTCGATAACGCCAGCCTTCTGTGCATCGGGTCAGTATGCATGTTATAAAACGTCATGATCGAGGCCTCTCTCTCTTTCCTGTGCGCCCCGGGGGTTTCGGTTGTAGAGGATAGGGAGCTTGGGGGAGACGCAGCCTTACCGAAACGTCGACATAGGCGTCCAGTTTCTTTTTCAACACTTCAGAACGGACCGGCTTGGCGAGGTAATCATTCATCCCGGCCGCCAAACACTTCTCCCTGTCTCCCTGGATTGCCGATGCCGTCATGGCAATCACCAGAACCTTGCGTACAGCCTCAATGGAGTCCTTCCTGATGAGTTTTGTGGCCTCGTACCCGTCCAACACGGGCATTTGGACGTCCATGAGCACAATGTGGTACGGCTCCCCTTCCGCAGCCTTTTTCCGCAGTCCCTCAATGGCCTTGAGCCCGTTTTCGTAGGCGACAACGTTGGGGTAGCCGAGTCGGTGTGCGTACTGGATAGCAATCTTTTGATTGATGGGGTTGTCTTCAGCCACGCAGATGCGGACGTCTTCCTTTGAGACCTGAGACAGGTCCATGAATGGGTTTGGCGAGGCCACCCTGTCAAAGGGCGACGTCATGAGCGAGTACCTGTCAATGGGCGGCGACGCCTTGCCGAGCGCGTCTCCAGCAGACACGTCCGCCTTGGCCTTTTCGAAAGTAACTGTGAACCAGGCGGTTGTGCCCTCGCTTTCTTCACTCTCCAGCTGAATCTTGCCCTTCATCATAATCTCAATCAGCGATTTGCAGATGCTCAGTCCCAGACCGCTTCCGCCGTACTTTCGCGCTGTGCTGGCATCTGCCTGGCTGAAGGGCTGGAACAGCTTGGCAAGCTGCTGCGCAGGGATGCCAATGCCGGTATCTCGGACCCAGAACGTGAGAGTCGCGCTGTCCTTGGTTTCGGCGTCCAGCCGTGCCCCTATGGTGACGGAGCCGTCCTCTGTAAACTTCAGGCTGTTTCCAATGAGGTTCCCCAGCACTTGATGGAGTCGGATGGGGTCTCCGTAGATGAGCATCGGCGGGAGGTTGATGTCCTGGATGATCTTGACGTTCTTCTTTGACGTCTTCTCCCGATTGCTATAGGACACTGCTCGGACAACCTCGCGAACCATTTCCTCGGGGTTAAAGGCAATAATGTACAGTTTCATCTTGTCAGCCTCCATCTTGGAAAAGTCCAAGATGTCATTGATGACTGTCAGCAGCAAATCTGCAGAAACACGGATCGAATCAGCCATCTCGAGCTGCTCCCTGTTGAGGTCACTGTCCCGCAGCAGCTCCGAGTTGCCAATGACACCGTTGAGTGGCGTCCGCAGCTCATGCGAGACGTTGGCAAGGAAAATGGCCTTTGCCTTGGCAGCTTCCTCCGCCAGCTTGACGTTCCGCTTGGCCTCTGCCTCTGCGTGCTTTGCCTTGGTCTCGGCCTCCAGGGCCTTGGCTAGGGCTCGCTTCTGAACCGACACCATCCCGCGGTTCTCGGCCGAGATCTTCTCGACACTCTTCATTGACAGGGCGTTGGAGTAACTGATGCCGATTTGGTTGACCAAGAGCTGCAAGACGGTGACGTTGCGATCCGTAAAGGACCCTGGCTCGCCTTCGAGGTACAAAACGCCGAGGAGGGGCTTGGTGCCGTGCAGGATGGGAATGGAAATGATTGCCTTGCCCCCGGGATACCGCTGCAGCCAGCCTCCATTTACATTGCCGAACCGCTCGTCCGCGAAAAGGTCGGGGATGAAGACGGACTCTCTGAAACGGGTACAGTAGAGGACGACATTTTCGGCGATGAGTGTTGATCCGGATAGCGGCAGGCCCGGTTCGTGGGCAGACGCTCCCCTCTCAGGATCTCCGCTTGCCGCCACACACCACGATTCCGTGTCATTGTCTTGGATGATGATGGCGGCGCGGGTAGCAGACCCGCCGCAGGTTTGCAGGATGACATCACACATTGTCTTGAGCAGCTCGTTGACCTGCAGCACGGACGAAATAACTTGCGAGGACACCAGGATCGCGTGCAGGTCAATCATGTCCAGGGCTGGGAGGCCGACCCCGTCCTCGGTCGGCATACGCATAGATCCGCGCCACGCACCAATACGTTCTCCCCTGAACTCGGACATGGCGTTGGAAGGAACCTGTGTCAGCTCGTCGCCATCCACCCCGTCGACGGGGCGGTACTGGGCGGGCGGCGGATCCGCGACAAAGTCTGTCTGGATGCCAACCTCGACGGTTCGATGATTCCGGGTCGGCCCATGGAGTAACAGGCTGTGCTCCTCCTCAATGGCAGACGCGACGCCGGCGGCGGCTATTTGTCGATACAGGCCCACCGCATCCTGGAGGGCGGCTCTGGCAGACCGTCTTGCTCGCCGTCTGATAAAGAAGCCAGCCATGACGTAGTTGCCGAGGGCCTCCTCGAATATGAAGTCGTGCTCGGCGGCATGGTCCAGCGCCTCCTCGTAGTGTTGAATGGCCTGGCCGTGGTCTTGGGACAGCTCCGCGACCTGAGCATTCAACAGCCTGGACCAGGATCGGTAGTTGACGTCGGACACGACCGACCAGTCCTCCATCATCTTGACAAAGCCGGTGAGCTCGTTGACAATCTCTTCCGTCTGGGCGGTGAAGTCGTCGGTTTGCGAGCGAGGGTCTTGCATGAGCCTCAACAGCTGGCCGGCTCGCGCCAGCCCGTAAAAGAGCAGAATCAGCCTGCTGTTCCGCGCCGACCACAGCATCGGAAGCTTCTCTACGCATTTCTGGCCAATGTCAATGGCGCGTTCGTAGTGGCCATACAGGAACAAGGCGCATAGCTCGAGACTCTCGTAGAATAGGGACGAGCGGTTGCTCTCTTGCGTCTGGCTCGTGAGCCAGCTCTTGTATCCAACCGAGTCGTGCTGGTCGTCAGTCATGACCCTCAACGGCTCGTGGGTGCAGGTCTTGCCCTGCAGGGCGCGGGAGAGCTGTCTGACGGCGACGAGGAGCGCGCCACCGCGCGTGTCCAGCGACCAGTTGACAATGTCCTCGCAGCCATACTGGCAAAACGCCTCCAGGTCGGAGAGGTTCTCGCTGGCAAAAAACTTGGTCACGGCGCAGAGTCCGTAGCTGAGAATGGTGGAGAGCCGGTCTCCGCCAACCGACGCCAGCTCAATGGCATCGTCCATCTGGGAGGTGGACAGCGACATGGAGTACTGTACATGGCCAATGAAGCACGAATGCAGCATCTGGCCGCGAGCCATGGAAAAGGCGTCTCGCGCAGAGTAGAGCAGGTCCTGGCAGATTGTGCCCATGTCGACGGCAAACTGCGTCATGTTGAAGCGGGCCAGGCCAACAACTCCCATCTGCAGGAAGGCCATGCCGGACTGGGGAAAGGCTCCACGGGTGAGGTGCATGTCCAGCATGACGAGCGTGAGGTGGTAATACTGCAGGCAGTCGCTCCACCATGCGGCAGAGGCCGTCTCCGACAGCACGGCTCCAATGGAAGCCGTCACGGGTGCCGTGTTCTTCTTTGGGTTCATGAGGGCCTGGCGGTCCATTTCCTGGACCTGTTTCGCCAGCTTGTGGAACTTCTTGTCGCACTTTTCATACGTGGGCTCGTCCTCGAGAGGTACGCCCAAGGCCGCCAGGCACTCCTTCAGGGAGATGAAGGCAGCGAGCGCGTTGCCGTTCTGGGCAAATATCCTCGACTGCAACACGTATGCCGGGGCCTTGTCCATTGCCGACTTTGCATTGGCAAAGAGGGTCGAGAGCAAGTCATTCGCCAGCGAAAGCTGTCCCATAAACAAGTGGCATTCCGCGGCGCGCAGGTAGAGCTGCATCGTCTCCTCGTAGGACACATCATCGGCATCATCCGACCACGGGTCGCCCTGCAGCAGCTGAATTGCCGCGCCATAGTACTTGGCGGCTGTCGGTCTGGCTCCATTCTCGGTGGCGGCTTGGGCGCAGTCAATCAGCAGCTTGCGGAATTCCTGCCGCACGGGGACTCGCATCTTGATGATGGAAGCGGCCTCGCAAATGTGACAAGCGGTGCTCTCTCGTTGTCTGGCCTCCACGGCGTAGTACTTTAGAAGGGTCTGGGAAATGATAAAATGCATGCGACGCGCATTACACTCCTTCAGTGCAGCCGAGGCATTGACGTACCTGTCATGCGCAAAACGGAAGCGGTCGTCAGTCTCGCTCGGCACGATGATGTATGCTTGGATGGCTGCTTGGAGACCAGCAATGGCCTCCGCCTCGGTGTATGAGCGTTTCGACAGGTTGGGGCAGCAGTTTGGAATGTCGTCGTCCCCGTAGTCAAACTCGCCCTTCATCAATCGACTGATAATCTCGAAAGAAAACGAGTTGCCCAGCAGAGCAGCCCACGACAAGACGGCCCTGGCCGCGGATGGCAGTTCGTCCAGCCTTCTTGTGATGAATCCGGTGTCTAGCACGTCGTAGTCCTTCTCACCCTGGAACTGTGCAAACAACCTGTCGAGATCGAAATGCCATATGCTGTCGCGATAGTCATACCAGATGCACTTTTTCCGGTGGCAGGCGCTGAGCATCTCCCGCATGTAGAACGGATTGCCAGCGGTTTTGGCCTGGATAACGAGGGCAAGCGACAGAATTTCCTCTTTTGGCCGGGACAGGGTGGCGGAAACATAGTCGAGTATCTCGGCCTCGCTCAGCGGCTCGAGACTGATCCTCGTGACTCGGGGTCGGCCATTCCGGTGGTTCTCTTCTACTTGGGCGGGGTATATTATCCTGTCCATCCTCTCCCTGGGGAGCTCCTCGGGTCTATACGTCATGATAATCAACATCTTCATCTTAGCGCCGATGATTTGGGTTATTAGCTCCAGAGACTCGTCATCCGCGAAATGGAGGTCATCGAGACAAAAGCAGATGAATTTGTGCGTGGTGAAGACTCGAAGAATATCCAAGCAAGTATTCATGAGGCGCGTCGTCTTTGTCGACGTGCCCGCGCAAAGATAGTCCTGAGAGCTCTGGGAGCCCGCCGTGGCGGCGGCATTGGCAGCTTGGTGCTGGCTCAGCGGGCTCGGCGAGCTTCCCGGCGACGACCCGCGCCGTTTGCCGCTACTAGACTTGACGCCACTTCGCTGGCCGGCCTGCTGCGAGTTGTTCGTCGATGGGCGTCCGACCATGGGGCTCGCCGACTCGGGCGGCCCCAGGAGAAACTCGGGCAGGCCGAGCACTCTATGCAGCATTGGCCAGACCGGTCGCACGTACTGTTTGAGAACCTGGTGGAAAGGTGTCTCTGTGTTCGTCTCGCCCCAAACCTGCTTAAATAAAGACGAGAGCAGCTTCAGCAAGGGACCAAATGCCGTCCTCCGGGCCGTGTCGAACTTGGCGGTGGCGCAATAGCCGCGCCGCCTCGCTTCTCCGAGAACACTTTGCACCAAGAAGCTCTTTCCAAGCCCCCCAGCTCCTTCAATGGCGACGACCTCGCACTGCCCACGCCGTCGAAATTTGGCGGCGCCCAGCTGTCGCGACAGGCTCGAGCCGCTAGACTCGGTCATGCCCCCCATCCGGCCACTCTCGGGACCGCCAGTGCTCTCCACGGCGCTCGCTGTTTCTACTGATATTGAGTGATGTCTCTCCCACGGTCTCGTCGGTCGGAGCTGTGGCCCAGATTGGTTCGAGGATACAGTCTCGTTTGATAGGGTCTGCGTGTCAGACAAGATGGACGGGTGGAAGCTGTTTCTGGGAAATTTATATTCTGACGATCCACCGCCCAGGTTGAAAGAGCCGCTCCTTCGGTTGGTGCCCTCTACAGAGCGTACAGAGCTTGCGCCCCCTTCGCTCGAGACGTCGTCGAGGACGACCAGTTCATTGGCCAGGCCAGATCCGTCCGGGAAGCGATTTCGGTTGCTGCCGAGAGAATGATTGCGCGAAACACGGTCAATGACTTTGACGAGCTCGCTCTGCTCTGCAATCCGACCAATCATGTTTGTCGGGAGTATAAAGAACGACGAGATGTCCTTGGTCCCAATCTCCAAGTCTTTGAGCGCCGTCGAGTCGCCATCGGAAAGCAGCTGCTGAACATTGACCAGGTCGTGGCGGAGCCCGCTTGCTGAGTGATAACGATCCGCGACATTCTTGGCCGTGCACTTTTGGATAATGCGCCCGATGACATCCGGAATGTCCATCCGCACCGTAGCCACGTTGGGCACCCTTCGGCCGAGCACGCCCTGGACGATGTCCATGGGGGTGTCCCCGGTATACACGGGCTGTTGTGTTAGCAGAGTCCACATTAAAATGCCCAGCGAGTAGATATCAGTCCGGGTATCGGGTTCCGCTGGCATTCGGCCAGTCTGTTCAGGACTAATGTAAAGGAGCTTGTTCTTGACGCCAACCTCCTTGGAGAGCGTCAACCAGCCGGTGCTGGTTAATCCATGCTCAAAGGACCTCAACCCAGTGCCAAAAGCCACAATCCTGACCTTGTTCTCCTCGGCGTTGAAGTGAAACGCGTCCCCCCGGATCTCACCGTGAATAATGCCCTGCCCATGATGAAGAATCTCCAAGCACTGCACAGCGCCGATGGCGAAATCCAAAAAGTATTCGAGGTTTATCGGCGGTCGTAGATGACTAGACGTTGCGGGGCGGTATGAGACGTACGCATCTCCTTCTTTTCGCGCCTGATAGAAAGCAGGTCCAAAGTCTAGGACTTTGCCCAAGTAGTTGGCACCTGGGTACTGATAGATGGCGACGGTGATGTGATTACGATCTCCAGGGCCGGGATTCAGTCGAAGTAGATCAATGGGCTTGGCAATATGCTCGCCTAGGGGGTCGGCCGTCCCCGCAACGTTCTTGGCGATTTGAAAAGCCCGTTCTTCTCGGAGATTGTGCGACGACACGCGGGCGACAACCGACTCTTCAACTATAGGAGGGCCATCGGCGGATGACGGCGGCGACGAAATGGGCGTCGACGGACGGTGCGGAAGCGGCGTTTTGGGGGTTTCGGTGCTCTGTGTCTCCGAGGGCGGGACATGGTTGCCATGTTCAGAGGGAGACGGCCGGCCAGATTGTAGCTTCGTGATGGATCCGAGGCTGGATTCGTTGTGCCCTGAGCTCGGAGGCGACGGTTTCGAGGATACAAATCGAGTTCCGAAAACGAGCCTGTTTTGCCATGTCGCCGACGTCAGCTCCTCGCCCAGCTTTGCCGCTTTGAACCAAGGCCAAAGAACCAAACATGTAGATGTAGATGTATTTATATATACATATAATATAAATATGTTTTGCATTCGAACCCGCGCCTCCCGTTGAAGAACAAAGCCCACTACCAATGCGGCAAACGAGAAATGAAAATTGTAAGAAAAACCCACCAGAAATCATAGCTCGAGTGGATGGGCTCCTTTGTTTCGTCCCAGGTGTAGCCAGCTATTTGGCGAAGGCGCTCGAATAGTCGAGGCGGCGGCGGGGGCCGCGAGTCGAGGACATCGTCAGGCACCAAAACGGCGCCGTCCATGGTGGGAAACAGTGCTGTCTACAGGACGGCAGCTTCGACTTGGAAGGGAATCTCTGCGACAGTCGGTGGTGGCCGAGGTTTCGCGAGCTGGATGGAACAAGGGCTGGTGGTCAAGAACTCAGTGGCTCAGACATGCGGTCGACGAGGCAAACCCAGATTCAGTGCCCATCCTCGGTCGGCCGGCGGCAAAAGGGAAACGCAGGAGAGGAGCAGAAGAAGAAGAAGAAAGGAAGGAACAAAAAAATGATCAAGACTCCGGCGCACGATGATGGCGAAATGCCATGCAGGCAGGCGATATGGCAAGAAAAGCGCGGTGAGGCAATGGAAGAAGCGGTAGTCGAAGCTGTGGCCGCCCAGTCCGAGTCTGGGATAATGACCCAGCCAAGCGTCGTTGTAATAGTGCTGGTGTGGTTGCTGCGGTCCAGTCTGGTGGTGTGCGGTCTGGTGCTGGCTGCTACCGCTGGCGTCTGGTACGGGGTGCGGCGCCCTACTGCTTCGGTGCTAGTGCCAGGTCAATCCAGCACTCTCGCCACGCCATTGGCCTTTTGCGGACGACTTCGTGCTAACTGGGCATGTGTACAGTGGGTGTAACATTTCCTGACTGGATTGTGCTGCAGAGCCAGCGTCGATCCACCACTCTCTCTCGTGCTGCATCCCACCACCGGACGCTCAGCCAGGCTGTTTCTATTCCTACTACACCCCGGACCGCGCACCAACACGCAAAGATCACCGTGCTATTATTCTATAGGCTTGTGCACTCGACCATCCTAGCCGTTCTTCTCTCTGCCCGTCAACTCGTCAAGCAGATATATCGACATTGTACTCTGTACATATGTACGAGGCATGTACGCCACTGTTTCTGCAGTGGGCCGCGGCAAAAACCACCAGTCCTCAAGTCCAACAGTTCGATACCGGGGGGCCGCTCGAGCCCGTCAAGACCAACCCTGGAGTGCTACTAGTAGTAGTCAATTTTGAGGAGCAGGAACCAGCAGCGGTTCCCAACGGTGCAGATGGCGCCGGGTTTTGCCCTCTGCGCGCAGATCAAGTACCACTCGTCCCAGAATCCACGCGTCGTTGGCCGCCTCTCTCCCGCACGGCTCGTCCACTCGACAAGGTCAAGGTGCCTTGAAAGAAAAGACCCGGCAAGGTCAGCTCTTGATGAAATCCAATATCCACGTTTGACCGGCGGCCTGAGTGCGGAACCACCCAGCCAAACAACCCTTGGATAAAGCCAATCATCCATCCCCCTTTTCACCCAAAACGACACCCATCACCAACGAGCCAATTCAACTCCACCTCGACCAAGATGAACAATGGCCTTGTCCCCGCTTCCAACATATACCGAAACGGGGTAAATAGAGTACTAGTCATTTCTACACAGCTCTACATTCGCCATCACGCGCTAGATCATCTACCGCATCCGCAGCCATAAGCCATATACGGAGTATGTCCCTGACAAACAGACGGCACCTAGGAGCATGCCATGTCGACCTTCTACCCTAAACAGTCACAAACTCGACCAGACAAAGGCTCGAAGCTCTTCCAACCCCCAATAGTGACACCAATTTCCCCTCGTACAAGGCAAGTGGGTACCTCACCGAGTCATTTCTTCCCGAAATGCCTCGTCCCCGTACAGTCTTAAGGAAGAGAACAAAAAAAAAGGATTACCAGTCCTGCAGCTGTTCAGCCGTCAGAGCACTTCACCTGGAAAACTCCAAATCTCGAAACGGCCACGTATACCCGGTTTCATGGTGAACAGCAGTGGACTCGTCAAATAGTCGCCAGGCGCCGCGCCAAATGGATCCATGGCAACCGACATCGAGTCCTTTCCCCCCTTCTTACTCCGTAAGTACACGAGCCGCAAACACCTGTCTATGCGTTGTGTACCGTCAAGTGAGACTCGACGCATGGGCCCAGGCGGCAAACCAGTGGAATGATGTCACTTGTCCGATACGCTCGCCGGTTTAATTGACCCCCTTTGCGTCGCACAAAATAGTAATGCTGTTTGCCTCGTTGCATGCGGGCTTGCTTGGCCCGGCACCGGCGCGGGGACTGGTTGCATCACACCACATCTTGCAGAGTACGTACGGAGCACCTATACGCATGAATTTGCCGCCACCGATAATGTGCTCGTTGATACGACCCGGGCTAGTCGCCTAGCGTCTCGAAATAGTCACATGCTTTTAGGAAATACGTAATTTATAGCCTAGCTATTGCATAGTCTAAATCGAGAGCGGCCCAGCTCTATTCTCTCTTTCTCGACCGTATCTATAGTTCGAAGTTTAGAAGAGATCAAATTCTATGCCAACCTCCCTTCGTCGCGCGAGTCTGGCTGATAACTGCTGTCCCTAGCATGACCTAGTATCAACGTCCCCCCACCCGCTCTAGATATCCCGATATGACCCGAAATCCATCATTTCATAAGACTCGCAACATTTGTTCACCCTATCACCTATCGTCTGGGAATGCTGGTTTCTCTTGGGTGGTGGTGGTGGTGGTTGTTGTTTTAGGATTAGATCCTCATGGAAACCGGATCCACATTCCCCATCATTCTTTCCCATTCATGTTTACCCTACCATATTCCGCCTTGTCAATTTCATTCAATTGACCTGCTTGGAGGACTTTCGGCTGTGGCCGCCGTTAACAGAGACCTTGGATGAAGCACGCTCACGGCTGGGCAAATCAGTGCCGTTGGTAACACCATTGGTGGTGACGTGGGTGCCATTGGTCAGAGCAGAGGAAGCAAAGTTGAAGGACTGAGCCAAACGTCGCTCCTCGTTCTTGCGAGTGTTGACAAAGTCGGGATAGTTGAGCGTCAGTTCGACTGCACCGTTGACAATGTGGTCAACAGCCTCGACGCCCAGCATGAAGGAGTGGTCCTGGTTACCAACTTCATATCTCCAGCTGCCAAATCGACCACGAGACAGAATGTCCATATCCTGGAGCTTTGGCAGGACCTGCTTCAGCACACCCTCACGCTCCAGAGACGGCGTAGGATAACCGTGGTCAAAGGCGCGGTGGTAGGTGGAGACGATTTCGTCTTCGGGCTTGAGCATCTCAGTATTGATCAATCCCTGGATGCTGTCCTTGAGCAGGTTTTCAACGTCGACGGGCTTCATGGAAGACTGCGAGACTTCCAACATGATGGACCAGTAAGGGCCCTCCTTGGCCTCAGAAGACGTCTTTGTGCCGTCGGCAAGATACAGAGTGGGCAGTTTGGCGTCCTTCTGCGGCTGGTTGTAAGGAGAGTAGTTGGAGAAGATGGTGGCACGGTAAAAGGGGCAGTTGTCCTCGGGGAAGTAGAGCTACAAGGCACAGTTAGTTTGTATTGTTCGATGAATGGGGCCCAAAAGAGAGTAAATCTGCAGGTCTTACCCAGCACTTGTCACCGATGCGCTCGGGGCGCTCACCGCGAATACCAACACCAACAACGTGGGTGGTGGAGTAGAAAAGCTGCTTGGTAAGGCTCATGAGCTCCTGGTTGCCCATCTTCTCGGCGAGGTGGTCGACAGCCATGGTGTTGACCAGCTTGCCATAGCCAATGGTGGTACCGTCGGCAAAGTGGACAACCTTGTTCTCAGCGTCGACTTTGGTAACCTCACCCTGCTTGCCGAAGCGCTTCTTCTCCTTGGGAAGAGTGTCGGCGACGGCGATCCAGATACCACCGGTACCATCGCGGGCGGGGAACCGGAAGGTAGCGTTGGGGCCCCAATTGCCGGCAACCTTGTTCAGGATGACATTCTTGGTGACGGTCTTGATATCAGGAGCAGCGACACGCTCACCGAGCCACTCGCATTGCATCTAGTTTGGTTCAGTCAACCTTGAGGACGGAATTTGGGAGTTATGACAGCGTCAACGGTGTCATCCTACCTTTGTGGTGGGAACGGCCCAGACCTTGTAGTTGTATGGGCGCATAAACATATCGGCAATACCCTCGCCCTGCATTCTCAGAATCCACTGGTCAAAGTCCTTGGGCTTGGTGTTGGCCACACGGCACTCCATGGCCGCATCAATGAGACCATCAATGGCCTTGACCTGGTCCTCCTTGGGCAGGATGGAAATGTTGTTCTGGAAGGGATAGGGGACCCAGAGGCCCTTGTAGCGAACGTAGGAGATGCGCTGGTGAGTGTACCAGTCATCATCCTTGGGAAGCGCCTCGTCGAGACAGTCGTCGAAGTACTTGTAGTGGGAGAAGATGACGTGGCCGCCAACATCGTAGAGCTGTTTGGGAATGGATCTGGTTAGCCTACAATTGCCTTTGAATTGCAAAAGGTCGCGCGGAGCGAGTAATCGAAGCAGCGCCAGCCAGCCTCGGGATGATGGAAACTTACGAAGCCCTCGTCGGTGGTATCGGTGCCGGCGAGACCACCAGCCTTGTCTGAAGAGTCAACAATCAGCCATGATGGGCCGTTCTGCGCGGTAAGAAGAGAAAAGAAGTTAGCAATCGACCACCGCACTAGGATGAGAATCTGGCGGTGAGGGCCTCACAATCTGATTCAGTCGCTTGGCAGCACCGAGACCAGTAGGTCCCATGCCAATGACGAGGACATCAACGTTACTAAAAGAGATGTGCGGTTAGTCTGACTGATTTTTCCATCACGTCCCAATGCGCTCAATGCACTGTAGGCGGTTCCCGAGGGCAAAGGCGAGGAGAATGGCAACAATCAACTCACATGTCGGCGCCCATGGTGGGGATTGTGATGCGGTGACGGCACAAGCGTAGATGAAAAGACTGGTAGGAGCAAACGAAGTAGCGTTTAGCCACAACAAAATGCGACGCCTTGGAAATGCGATGATGCTGAAGGAGCAAAGAGGACAGACTGCGATCTCAAACCAGCGCGGGAATGCAGAGGGATGCTAGCAACGCTGACTGACCGACCAGTTGCTGTAGATATGTTGCCAGTGCTCAAGGAATTGTTTTTCTGTGGATCCTTGGACAGGCGGCTGCAGCAAAGGGGAAAAGGGGAGGGGGGCATGTCTGCTCCATGGAGGGGCTAAAATTATGTTGGATCCAGGGGTGGACGGAGACCAGCACTTACGGCCTGGTTGACATGGACCCCTCCAACTTGGGCAAGCCACTGCCACTGCCACTGCCACTGCCATCGGACCTTGAAAAAGGCTCGCGGCACATGCAACCAGCCATGCACCTTTAAAAAGGTTGTGGCTGTGGCTGGGTGCTCGCTCGCCGTGGTTTGCCCACGAGGTCACGGCCGCCATGCAAGATGAGGACGCCGCCCCCTTTCTCCCACCTTCCAATGCCATTGACCACACACATCTCGCCCACGCTTCACGGGCCAGCATTCCGGCGCCCATGTCCTGTAATATGGACAGGCAGGCATCGTCGACCGTACAACGTGTATACCGCATACGGGTCGGTGATTACAGCCGAGTACTCTGTACTGGTCTGTACTACGGAATCTCATCTTGTATACTCTATTTACCTGGAGCCAACAAGACAAGCACCCCTTGCTGCCCAGCGAGAGCTTAAACGAGTGGATACCACACAAATCTCGACCATCGATCGTCAAACCTGTTGTTCACAGTGGTACGGAGTACTCCGTATATTAATTATGCCGTGGACCTTGTCTGCG